ATCAGTACCAGTACTCCATCAGTATCAATGCTAGTATGGTCAAGATGAAGGCAACTGAGTGTGTTGTTATTGCATAAAAGTGCAGCCAGTGACTGAACACTAACTGAAGTGATGTCAGGATTATAACTAAGATACAAGTTCTTGAGTGTTTCATTATCTTGCAGTGATTCTGCTAGTGCAACGACTCCACTGTCATCAATTGAACTATTAGATAAGCCTAGAGTTGTTAATGATTTGTTAGTAGATAGTTGTAAAGAAAATGAGAGGATATCATCATGAGATAAGAATGAGGAGAGTAAATGAAATTGTTCTATTGTATTTCTTCCCAGTATAGTTGGTATTAGGAACAGTATAGTGTCAGATGATGAGTGGTCAAACGTAATAGTCTTATGTTTGTCCTCCAGTTTACTGATTACCTCCTCACATTGATCTAATGATGGTCTAGTGAGTTGTACATCAAACTGACTCCATTCCACATCTTGTACTACTAATAAAAGCACAACTAGTCAGTTAAACATTGATCATAAATCCAAACATGATAATAATAAATACATGACATGTAGCTCTAAATACCTTCTGTTTCTTTCAAATTTTGATTCTCTCTCTCTTCCAGTGATGATACTTGGCTCTGAAGTTTACAAATCAGTTCTTCATTTTGAACTACGTTAAACAATAACTATACTAGGATAAAACTGTAAGTCATACCAAGATTTTTTTGCAATGCTTCTATTTCTTTTAATCTGTTTTCTGACAATGTTCTTAACTCTGTTTCAGTAGCAATCATGTACATATATTTAATCAAAGGATCAATACATAAATAAATCTCTTACCCATCATCCTTTTATTTCTATCCCTTGGAGCAGCTTCCAAATCAGCAATCAGTAAGTCCTTCACATGATCTGTATCCTCACTCAATACCTGTATACAATAAGAAATAATAATAAAACTATAGGTATATCTAACCCGAGTAGCATATATATCCCATACAGTACAATTGCCAAGTATAAATTTATTCAATTTTCTCTTTTGTAAAATCTTTATCTTCTGAAGGACAGTCATTATCAGTGAGCCAGTGCATTCAGCAGGACAGTAGCAGGTCACTGCAACTGATTGATCAGTACCAACTTTATCAACCTGTAAACGGTATTTAAACCTATTAAGTGGCTCTAACTCAAACAGAACATCATTGATATCCTGCAACGTGCATTCATCAGGATCCCAGTTAAACACAAATACAACGGTTTCACATAAAAGGCGAGATGGAGTAGCAACTGCCTGTAGCTTCTCACCAAGGCAAAGACTCACTGATACCAACTTGCAGAAATCCTTAGCTTCCTCTTTGAATGCCTTAATGATTGGTTCAGCCTCTTCTATGTTGAATTCAGAGGCTAAATCTTCAAGGGGGCTGATGTCAGTGATATTGCACTTCCTCTTCAATACATCTAATACTTCACCAATGGTTGTATTATCAGAAAGCTGAGGCTTCAGATCAGAAAAACAGTCACTAATAAATTCCTTCACTTCATCGATATCCAAGACATTTTTTTTGCTTTTAAAAATACGCCGGACTCGAAAAAATGTAGAGCCTAATTTTGATCTCATTTTTTTAAACTCTTTCTTTATGTTACGAGGAAAAAGGATTTTATGATTTCCATGATTGTCTGTTTCATTGTCATCAAGTGATGAA